AGAGGGGGATATGAAAGGAGAATGGAGGAGAGGGAACCATGAAGAGAACCCAATGTTCGCTTCATGGGAGGCATGAGGGGAGAAAGGGAAAATTGGGGCCGAAGATCAGGAAGATGAAAATGTCGGTGTTTGAAGATGAGGATGCGTATGGGTGGAAATATAGAGTGGAGAGGTATTTTGTGGTAAACAGATTAATAGAAGGTGAGAGACTTATGGCAATAGCTTCTTGAGCGGAAGACACTGGCATGGTACTAATTGAGGGAGACAAGGTACCTGATCCGCTCGTGTGAAGAATTTAAGAATTGCTTGTTGGAGCATTTTTTATACAAGCAAGATGGGGATTATTATGAGCAATTCTTTGCATTGACACAGGTAGGCATTATGATGGAGTATCGGGAAAGATTTGAGCTTTTGTCAAGTCGAGTAGGGAGATTATCGGAGACTGTGTTGGAGGGCAATTTTATGAAAGGCCTCAAACTAAAGATGAGAGCAGCGATGAAGGTGGAAAGACCCCATGATTTGGGAGAGGCAATAGAGTTGGTTCAGCTGATTAAGGACAAGAATTCACTGTAGAGTAATAAGGGGGTCAGTTTGGGAGGTTCTTACCGGCTACCGCACGACGACCACTTTCATGGCAACTAAGGTGCAAACTATACCCGTTCAAAGGGAGGCTCCAAAGGAGGGTTGCTCGGGAGTCCGACAAAGAGGGAACTTCAAGAGGTTGATTGATACTGAACTGCAAGACAAGAGCCAAGGGGTTATGTTTTAGATGCGACGAGAAATTTATGTATGTATATAAAAATTGTACATTGCAGGTTCTCTTTGTTTGTGACGAGGAGAGGTTGAGGCAGATGCAATAAGGGAGGAGGTAGAGGAAGAGAAGCTCTTACACTTAGAGGTGGCTGAAGTTTTATTTAACTCTGTATTGAGATTTACCCCAAATCACACTATGAAGGTGGGATAGATAGGAGGAGATGCAGTAGCTATCCTGGTGGATAGTGGGTTACACACAATTTTATATCAAACCATGTGATTGACAAACTTGGGCTAAAACCGGTGGACATGGGATGTTTGGGAGTGATGATGGGCATAGGAAAGGTGGAGAAGCGTAGAGGGATCTGTCAGGATTTGGTGGTAGAGTTACGGAGATTCACATCATGGAGGATTTTCTTCCATTAGAGTTGGGAATTACTGATTTGATTTTGGGAATGAAATAGCTACACACCTTGGGAAAAACCAAAGTAAACTGGAAGGCATTAGCTATGAAAATCCAAGTAGAGGGGAGGAAGGTGGTAATTAAGGGAGACCCCAGCTTATACAAAGCAATGATTTCTTTTAAAATCATGGTTTGTGACATACAAGGGAAAGGAGGAGGATTCTTGGTACAGCTCCAAAGCTTGGAGGGAGGTGGGATAGAGGAGATAGAGGGCATTCCATACATTGTTCAGCCACTACTTCGACAGTTCAGGCAGGTATTCTAGCTTCTCTAGGGATTACCATCCCCACGGGAGCACGAGCACGAGCACTCTATTGTTCTGAAGGAAGGAGTTTCTCCCATTAGTGTCAGGCCATACCGCTACCCTCAGATCCAGAAGAATGAGATTGAGAAACTAATTCGGGATATGATTGAAGCTGAAATCATCAAACCAAGTGTGAGCCCTTTCACTAGTCGTGTATTGTTGGTGAAGAAGAAGAAGAATGGAAGTTGGAGGTTTTGTGTAGACTATCGTGCCCTGAAAAAGGAAACTGTACGAGACAAATTTCCATGCCAGTCATTGACGAGCTATTAGATGAGTTACATGGATCCGTGATATTCTCCAAGCTCGCTTGAAATCTGGGTACCACCAGATCAGAATGAGACCAGGAGACACCCACAAGACAGCTTTCAGGACGCACGAGGGACACTATGAGTTCTTGGTGATACCTTTTGGCCTCACTTAATACACCAGCTACTTTCCAGTCTCTAATGAATAGGGTATTCCAAAGGTTTGTGTTGGTATTTTTTGACGATATATTAGTGTACAGAAGATGTGAGGGAGCATTTGGGAGTTGTGTTATCTACCTTAAGAGAGCACCTTTTTGTTTGCTAATAAGAAAAGTGTTCTTTTTCCTAGCCCAGAGTGGAGTATTTAGGACATGTAGTATCGTATAAGGAAGTGCCAACTGATCAGAATAAGTGAGGCCATGCTCAGATGGCCCACACTCTATGATGCACCGACACGAACACGGCGACACGGACACGACACGAAACAGACACGGCAATTTTTAAAAATATAGGACACAGGTGCGGCGTGGACACGGCATAATATTTTTTTAATATAATAATTTTTAAAAATATAGGGCACAGACACGGCGTGGACAGATGGCTCTTTTGAACCTTCACCTAATCCACCCCCGCCAGCAGCAAAGCTCATTTTGCTAACAAACCAATCATACATATGAATACATCAAATTAAATTGATATGAAGTGAAATCAAAATATCTCAATAATAAGATAACATGAATACAACAATATACCGGTCTGCCGGGGGTCCAAGGGGGCGCTGCCTAAAAATAATTTGAAAATAATAAGTCATTTAACTAAAATTTGTGCTTAAAATAATTTGTATAAGGATGTCGAGAGTCAGACATCGATGCCGTTTATCAGTCACCGAGAGAGGAGATGAAAATACCTTCACTGCCAAAAAGAAATGAAAATGAGAATATTCGATGATTGGTATTAAGTGCGGACGTTGATTTGGTGTTGTGGATAGGAAATAAGAAATTTAGTTTAAATTTCGCCAAATACAAGAAATTATATTTAAAAAAATTCATAAAATATTTAAGATACGCGTGTTGGACATGCGCGTCCAATTTGTATTTAATATTTTTTAATTGGACACATTTTCGTCGTGTCCGACACATGTCGGAGTGTCAGGCGAGTGTCGTGTAAGATACTGTATCGGACACTGCATGCCTCTTTCAAAAGAAGTGTTGGTGCATGATAGCTCACAGGCTAATATCAAAATTTTGTGAAATGACACAGTTCTATAGCAGGGTCGTTGACGGAACAGCTTGAGAAGAACAACTTCAACTGGGGAGAGTCATCCACCCATGCATTTGAGTTAAAGAATGTTATGACTAGCATGTCAGTTTTAGCTCCTCAAGATTTTAGCCAATCTTTTGTAGCCAAGACAATGCTTCAAGTTTTAGGACGGGAGTCGTACTCATGCAGAATCAAAGACATGTGGCCTATTTCAGCCAGGTGTTGACGACTAGGGCAAAACTCAAGTCAGTCTATGAGAGGGAGCTGATGACGATTGTGTTAGCCATTCAGAAATGGCGCCTTCTTTATTGGGAAGGCATTTCATCGTCAGAACTGATTAGAGAAGTTTGAAGTATTTGTTAGAGTAGAGTATGGTCACTGAGGATCATCAAAGATGGCTTTCCAAGTTATTGGGCTATTTTTTTTTAGGGGAAACCCACAGTGGGCCTACGCGTTGATATAAATGGAAAAATTACAAGATCCTTAAAGGGACCTCGAGCTCTACTAACGCTCTGCCGAGCTACAAGCCAAAAAACCAAAAAACCTAAGAGCTCAAGTTCCCTTCTAAGCCAAAATACAAAATTTCCTAAATACATTCTACGGTGTTCAAAAATGAACACCCAAAAATTAAGGAATAACCCAAAAAAAGTCTCAGGTCTTGCTCCAAGATCCAAAACTGATGCGAACTATAATCTGCAAAAAAGGGATCCTGCAAAACAAAACTTAAAATAGAAGGATAAAAGCACAGAAAAACGTACATACTTCGATGAGATAATGTCCGATGGCGGCTGAAATAGAAACTGTCCCTACAAAGAGACAAGTAATTCTTAGAAAACATAGTAGCTTCCATATAGAACCAGCAAACCCGGCTGAAACAATTACCCCCCAACATAACCATAGAAGTCCAGATCCACCTGCTCAAGCCCTTCCAGAAAACACCGAGAGCCAGCAGAAAGAAAAGGAGCCAATAAACACCAAAACAACACAACCAGTAATCCCCACAGGAGCAATTGCCATAATTCAAAAGAAACCTCCGCAACCAACTAACATAATCCTCAATGATCCAACCTAGAAGAAGATTATCCAACTCAAAATTAAACTGCAAACTAACAAAAAAAGCAACATATGGTTTATCCGTGTACATGGGGAAGCCCTAGATAATGGCATAATTTGTACCCATAGTGGTTGATTGGGAAGCATTAAGGAGAGAGAGCGAACAAGATGTAGGGTTGAGAAAAATTAGAGAGGAGCTTGTGGAAAATAAAGACAGCCATCTGGTATATTCAGTGGTGGGACATAAGTTGCTTCATTATGGGCGGTTTGTGCTTTCAAAGATTGCTTATTACATTCCATGCTTGTTTCATGAGTTTTATGGTACGGCCATTGGGGGACATTCAAGGGTCAAAAATACATGTTGTTGACTTTCTGCAAAGCTGTGTTGGGAGGTTATGTAGAAGGATGTCGAGAAGATAGTGGCTAGCTGTGATATATGTCAGAGGCACAAGTATTTAGCCATGTCTCCAAGAGGGCTTCTACAATCGTTAGCTCTTCTAGAAGTTGTGGGAGGAGGCGGCCATGGACTTCATTGAAGAACTGCCAAAGTCAAAAGGATACACTATGATACTGGTGATGGTAGATCGATTGATTAAGTATACTCATTTCATTCCCCTTTGCCACCCTTATAAGGCAATATCAATAGCGATGGTTTTCATGAGGTGGTGAGATAACATAGGATACTAGAATCGATTGTATCAAATTGAGACAAGATCTTTCTGAGCCAGTTCTGGAAGGAATTGTTCAAGATGCAGATGACCATTTTGAAAAGGAGCACTGCTTATCATCCTTAAACAGACAGATAGACAGAGGTGGTCAATCGTAGTGTGGAGACTTATATTCGATGCTTTGTATCAGATACACCAAAGTTGTAGGCAAAATGTTGGCATAGGAAGAGTGTTGGTATAACACTTCCTATCATATGGTAGCTCAGATAACACCATTCAAGGTATTATACGGAAGAGATCCGCCTCACTTGATATATTATGAACAAGGCAGCACATTGGTGGCATCAGTAAAGCAGTATTTGGAAGACGGAGACAGGATTTTGGTGGAGCTTAAGGGACATTTGCTGAGAGCTCAACAAATTATGAAAAGGCAAGCATATGCACATAGGAAAGATATTCAGTTTGAGGTGGGGGACAGGGTTTACTTGAAGCTTCGACCCTACAGGCAGAGAACCTTGGCACATAGAAGGAATGAGAAGTTATCACCCCATTATCTTGGTCCTTACAAGATAGTGGAGTGTATCGGTGTCGTGACATATCTCCTACATTTACCACCGTCGTCAACTATCCACCCAATGTTTCATGTGTCCCAGTTGCTACGTGTGGTAGGAGAGGACATCTCATTTTTTGCACTTCCCCCGACCTTGACGGATAATATGGAGGTGTTGTTAGAACCATTGGAGGTTGAAGGAGTACACCAGGAAATAACAAGAAACAAAGAAGTGTTGATCAGGTGGAAGAACCAACCAAAGTACAAAGCTACGTGGGAGTCCAACTAGATTATTTAGCAGCAGTTCCCTTCATTCCACCTTGAGGACAATGTGGTGCTTTTTTTTTTGGGGGGGGGGGGGGTATT